ATCTATCCATCGTTATCTCCTTATACGCAATCGGGTTGCTTAGGAAGCAGTTTCAGAGGGCCCCAAACCTCCTTTTCCTGGCCACATCAACCAGCTCTGACTGGGCATCACCCATGCTTCATGTGAGAGAACGAAGATGGACTGATGGAGCTTTCCAAATACAACATTGGAGACCAAAATTGGACATTGACTGTCAATAAATCATTCTATTACTTACACCATAATCAACTTAAAGGTGGGGCATGTAATTTATTTCAGAAACACTTTTTGTTATATTCCATGGAATGCTCTTAACATCCCGATAGCAATGAATATATTAAATGCTTTGACAATAAATACATAAAAAAATGTGATCTGTGGAAGCCGTGGCGCTGCGAAAAAACACGACCAATCATTTCAGCCGGCCCGGCTAAAATAACTGGATGGCCTACCTGCCTGTCAGCCTTCCATCTGTGCACAAACTTATCTCGTGTCCTCATTGGTCATGTGTGCGTTCGTGTGTGTTGGAGGAGGGGCTCTGTAAGGAAGTCTAAAGGAAGAGGCAGATTTTTTCCGGTTGTGTACTTTCAAATTCTAGCGCACTCGAGCTGGTTTCTCCAAATTACCTACCCCACCTTTAACTCAAAATACCCACAATACCCAAAATACTACGAAAACACAATTTGCATAATTCAAAGACAGTTCAGCTTCTCTGAAGCTTTAACTTCCTAGACATTATAATACCATTTGCATACATACATTATAGTTTTATATTGATTATATCGGTGCTTGCATCAAGCTATACAATTTTTTTATTTAACCCCATTGGCCAGTTTCATGAGAGGAACAACCCTGAACACCCTTAAACAACACCATGCCTAGTAGATAACAATGTGACAGCAACAATATAGGGGAAGGGAGGCAAGTTGTTCTCTTAATGCTGAATGCCTTTATTTGTTCTGTCATCTTCACCAAATTAGATCTTGTAACAGGCAGATTCAATAACATCCAGCAGCCTCTGCTCAGTGTTTCTCATGCAGCTGCTGTGTGTGTCCTGCAGGGGGAGTTGTTGAGCCCTTGTCGCTGTAACGGCTCTGTACGCTGCACTCACCAGTCCTGCCTTATCCGCTGGATCAGCGAGAGAGGCTCCTGGAGCTGCGAGATCTGCTACTTCAAGTTCGAGGTCCTGGCCATCAGCACCAAAAACCCTCTGCAGGTACAGTCACACACACTCTCTGTCTCTCTCTCCTCAGCTTTATGATGAAAACTCTCTTACATGGCCCATGTAACATGGGTATAACTTGTAAAGGAGATGAATGCAATCCTTGACATTAGACTGCCAGACTATAAGGCAACAAGTAATGCACACACTTCACATTGCAATATTTGATTAAGGGAAGGGTGAACAAGCTAGTGATCAAATTAGTGGACATTGATTAGATCAATGTAATGGCACACAGCAGAGGCCATGCAGTGTTTACACTACCAAAATCACACGTTTTGGACAGATGCTGTCTACCTGCACTTATTCATAACATAAGACACACTGCAGATAAGAGTATCGCTATTTACACAGAGCTATTTATACCGTTTTTTTGCAGACAATGGCACATATTTTAACCAGACGAGCAGACAGTATAACCAAATGTCGTCAGCCTCTGAATGCTAGAACAGAGATATTATCTATATTATATATTTTGATATTTAGAAATATGGCTTCTTTTATGTACTTTTTCTATATACTTCTCTCTTTCAAGTATATTGGAATGTTAATCGTTTGTGAATGTTTTATCACTCTGGTGTTATGAATTTACCACATATGCCATCATAGATTGTATTTGCTTTGTTAGTGTGCTTTATGTAGAAATACGGGTGTTCTTTTCCATTTTGAAGCATGCATGTGTTAACTTTTTCATTACAGAAACTGAGAAACCTTGCATCATTACAGGGTCTTACATAATTAAGAAACATTTTGATATGTACATCTACAGTTCAGGTACATGTTTGGGTCTCATTCTGTCTTTCCTAGTGGCAGGCCCTCTCTCTGACTGTGATTGAGAAGGTGCAGATTGCGGCCATGATCCTGGGCTCTTTGTTCCTCATCGCCAGCATCTCCTGGTTGGTGTGGTCCTCTCTCAGCCCTTCAGCCAAATGGCAGCGGCAGGATCTCCTCTTCCAGATATGCTACGGCATGTACGGCTTCATGGACATAGTTTGCATCGGTAAGACTCAAACCTCTGTCTTCCACTTGCATTATTACCAAGACTACCGCAATACTTTTTAATACCAAAACTAGCACATTATTCAGTACGCCAAATGTAGTTTTTCCGACACATGGTATTTACATTTGCATACTAGCATGCATACTCTGGCTTTTCTGGACCACTTTGCGCAGAAGATATACAATCAAGAAGGTCAAAGTTTAAGGCAGAAGACCTTTTACCAAAAACCTCATGGCAATGTCGGGAGATCCCAAAAGTTTATAGGCTTTATCTTGCCAGTAATACAAAAGAATAAAATGGTATGACAATCCATCCAATAGTCGAAAGCTGCTGTTATCATTATCTCTTTCTTTTGATCGATTACTTTGCACATTTTATTATAAAGTGCAACAACACAAATAAAATAATGCATTGGTGTTGCATTACTGTATTTGTTGCGTTCTTTCTCTGCTTTTTTTTTCTTTCCTTGTAAAGGGATTTGAATTGAAACCGTTTTTTTTACCAAACATCGGTCCAAAATACCCACAAACAAGTCTATTATATTAAGCTTTGGATTTCAAGATCGTATAGTTCTTATTCACTCTGTACCTTGTGTCCCTTTTCAGTGCTTCCTGATTGTAATTGAACAAACAACTGTTTGTCTATATGTAAGCCTGTTTCCTGCCCTGACCTCCCCCACCCTTTGTCCCAATGCCCAGGCCTTATAATCCATGAAGGATCGTCTGTTTACCGGATCTTTAAACGCTGGCAGGCGGTGAACCAGCAGTGGAAAGTGCTGAACTATGAGAAAGCAAAGGACTTAGGAGACCCCATCAGTTCTTGCAAAGTTCGCGTTGAGAGGAACTCAGACGGCGGACAGAGGGCGAGTCGACATGTCAGGACTATTCTCAACCACCACTGTGGCTACGCCATTTTACACATCCTCAGCCAGTTAAGACCCAACAGCCTGCGCAGAGACAACCATGAGGTGGTGATGAGGGTGACCACAGTATGAGGCCAATGTGCTCCGATGTTTAGGGAGGAGGTCAACGTGTTGATTGGGATTTAATTGTTGTTTTTTAAATCCTTATCTGCCACATAAACACTGACGGTTACTTTTGGTCGCACAGAATCTCCCTGAGCTCAAAGTGGACCATGGGAAATATTTCTGAGATTTGGGCAACGGGAGGGTGTTGCAGTGATTATAAACAAAGACTGTGAAAACATGACAATTAAAAAAGAAAAAGTTTGATTCCTAAAGCTTTCAAAAACAATGTTTACCACCATGACCAATCTCACAAAATGTCATTGAAATATTTATTTCCTTTCCAAAGAAAAAATAAAATGAATGTCATTTCGTTTGATTTGGATTTTACTCTATAATAGAGGGTTTATTGGTGAAAGCGATCGTGCTCCTATCAATATGCTCCTGAGGGTCTGCCATGATTTGACAGATGTTTCACTTGAAGCAGCATCGATGGATCAAACATTAGATAACAAATAAACTCTGAGATACGACACAATTGCTCGAACTTTGAAGTTAAAAGTACAAATCATGTTTTTGTAATAAAGATGTTGTTGATCGCAAAGGAACATTTGTTTTGGTTTCCATTCTTTCATTCATAATGGATAATGGATTTCAGCCGATGTGGTTTGAAAACAAATTTGACACTTGATAAGCGCAGATTGGATTTTCCTGTTGTCTGCATAATCCCTGTAGGAAAAATCTACGGACATGCACACCGGGTTTGACAATTCAAATCAATCCAATATGCTTTATTGGCAGGAATTTAACAAGATAATATTGAATGTTACATGGAAAATATTAAATGTAACAAGGATTAAGTTGAATATACTAAGGAAAATATTGCCAAACTTAATAACAAGGTGTAATTCAAGCTCTTCTTTCTTCCCTGTCAACTATCAAATAAAGATTTGTTAAAAATCTAGGGCTAGCCTGACTGAAGATCCTTTCTCATTTTGTTGGTCTGAAAATGTATACATCTCATAATTTAGCATGTAGAATTACAACGAAATAGAGCACAGTTTGCAGCAGACTGTGTCTGAATATAACATTTTAATACAAATGTATTGGTACTAATTGTAAGTTACAACAAGTGGACGAGAAACGATGAAACAAACGGGCATCAGTTCAAAATAACAATGCGGACCTCCAACTACAGTAGCCTATGTAAACACCCACAACAGTGGCTCCCAACCTGGGGAAGGAAAGGCCTGCAAGATGATGACATTTAGAAAGAAGAAGCTGCTTATAATGAGTTTTTTTTTTTTTACATGTTACCCATGAGATCTATAAAAAAAAAACAATCTGAAAATCTTAAATTACTATTAAACTAAGCCATGTTTGTTTTACTTGGATAACTGAGTTTATTGTACTTTTTTTTACAGCTCCATTTGAAACTATGCCCCTCCTTTTCTGACATCATCAGTGTACTAAATGGAAAGATGTTGATGGCATACATAACAAATGCACTCACACATCAACCTAAAAAAAATTGCATTAGTGTAAATGTACACGCCAACAGCTCTTTTGTAGTTATTCTGTTGTTTTCTTTGCAAAGATTTTGAACTCAATGACAACTGTTGTGACTGTGTGTCAATTTAAACATGTAATAGTGCCGTCGTTCTTTTGATTATTTATTAAATTATAACACATTTTTATTATTATTTTTGTATTTATTTTTTCTCTATTGTTACACTTTTTGCGGTAGCTCCCCTGAAATGTTTGAATGTGTACATTTTGCAGCGTGTAAATTCAACGAATCTGGCAACCCTTAAATGACGCTTTTCGATGACGTCAAAACTCCGCGACTCACAACCAGTGGTGGTAAACCGTCCTTATTATACATCCATGTGGTAAACTCACCAGAAACAAACGTGAATTTCTGTGAATGCATCAACTCTTTTTATTTAGTTTTTCGCTGACAGATTGAACATCTTCTCCATTAATCCACCATGAGTTCCTCCATGCCGCAGAAGCGTTACTACCGGCAGAGAGCCCACTCCAACCCGATGGCTTACCACACGTTCGACTAGTGAGTGATGGACATGTGTTTCAGACTCTGCTGTCTCTCACACTGCCTGCTAAAGTTATGGTTGTCACACTGTGTATTTACACTGAAAGTAAAGATGCTTTTAATGTAACTCTGGTGGTATGTCGCCATGCAAAATACTTGTTTTAGTATCCTTGGATTTCAGATGTTTGCCTGTAGTTTAGCAAATATTTGTTGTCCAGAGGGATGACTGTAAACATCTTGTTTCTTAAAAGACATACATTATAATATGATATAAAACAGAGAAAATCAGTGATTTTCCAAATCTGAGAAGCAACAAATATAACGTTCTGCCATTTTTGCTTGAAATATCGATTATCCTAATGGTTGCCAATCATTTGCCTGTCGTGACATTCGTATCCTAATCAATGCAGCTTTAACGATGTCAATGAAAAGTTATATTTAAAAACATCCACTTCCATTATCTTTCTCAAAAAACCCACATGTTCCTCTTGATAATCCACAGAGCACATAGTCCACTATTTTTAACGTTTCTTCTCTATAATATATTTAAAAGTACTACTCTTTGCTCAGTCCAGTGTGTCCTGAGGAGATGAACTGGTCTGAGCTGTATTCAGGCTACTTCGCCGACCACCCCTCTGAGAAAAAGCCCCCCCAGGTTGAGTTTGCAGATATTGGATGTGGATACGGCGGGCTGCTAGGTATATTTGTCACTGATCTGACCACCTTCAGTTTCACAGGTCACAGTTTTGCTCTGTATTGACCATATGTCCTCTTGTCTCTGTCTTCCCTCAGTGGAGTTATCTCCACTTTTCCCTGACAAGCTCATGCTTGGCATGGAGATCAGAGTAAAAGTGTCAGATTATGTTCAGGATCGTATCAAATCCCTACGCACCTCAGAGCTGGGAGGCTACCAGAACATCGCCTGCATTCGCGGCAATGCCATGAAGTACCTGCCCAACTTCTTCTCCAAAGCACAGGTAGGTTTGCTCCTGTGTGTCTGCAGCTGTGTGATGACAAGGGGGGGTTGGACCTGAGATGGTGCAGTTTTAACCCCCTGATAATGTAGCCACTCACTGCTCTTTCCTGAACAAAAATACCCAGCTCTGAAGAACAATTTTTGGTAGATGCATCTTATGTACTTCCCTGTACTTTACACATATGATAACTGATGATACTGCATGGACTATAATTGCATATGGTTACGTACTACATTTGATTAAGGTAAATATATGTATTCATAATGTTTTATGAATCCCGTCAGTCAAAATCTAGTTTATATCTATTCAGAACATCAAGACACTTATAATAATCATAAGTCATATATTTTTATTTTATTGTGAATTGGAAATCATTAGATTAGTTATTGAGTAAAATCTTGAAGGATAATCAATGCAATATGGTTAGCTTCATAATGAGCTATTGATACTCTTTATAGAAAGTATACGAGACTGTATGACAGCTTCCGGTTTTGGACATTCTGGCTACGCAACACTCATTCACCAATGGGTAATGCTTAGATGGATTTGAGGAACTTCCCCTCGATTCCATTGGCTCTAACGGTTAAAAAGAGGTGTCAATCATCAAAATCGACCAGGGGGGGCCATAGATATGGAAAATGACCCCAGAAGTGGGTTTCTTTTTCTAAATCTCTCTAAAAAGGTCAAATTTCACTTGTTTTGCATCAATCTTGATGCAGGGTACTTATTATGTTATAGTTTGGATTCTTAAAGCTTTTAGTCTACTATCCCATCATTCAAGGGTTGTTTTCACTAAAAGTAATTTTTTTTTTTGGACAGACACAATAATTTACATTTTTTTACTATGTTCAATCTGAATTTACTTTAAAGGGGACCTATCATGCAAAATGCACTTTTGTATGTCTTTTATACATGAATATGTGTCCCCGGTGTGTCAGGGAACTCACCAACTGTCAGAAAACACAACCCTCTCTCTTTTCCTCCATACTCTCTAAAAACGGGGCTGCAACGGATCTGATACAGACTGATACAGATTTGAAATTGTTCTGACGTCAGAAAAGGGGTGCTCCGCCTATATGGCCAACTCTCCACCTATCAGGGGAATGAGAGGTTGCGTGGCATGGTAACAGCATGGTAACCCTTTGCAGGGCGGCGTGGTCAGCTGCAGCTCATTTGCCACAGAATCAGCCCTTGTGAAGACAGGGCTGGAATAGAGCAAATAGAGCGAAATGAGGCATGGCTAAAATGCATGTTCTATTTCGTATATGGCTTCGCCCTCTAAGGCTATCGCTATTGGGTAATCCCCCTGCACCCCCGCGCAGCACTGAAACACTTGTAGTCCACGCCCACCCGCAAGGTGGGCCCCACCCTCTGGCCTCCTTCCGGTATAAATAGGAAGGAGGCCCGGCAATCTGCTCCCTCTTTTTTTCAGCAAACCAGCACAGTTANAAGTCGGCACGGCGGCCCACATTAAAATGACTTAGGCCTACCTTTGATGATCAAATCACTTAACACAAAGTCCATCCTCCTGTCCTTTTGGATGAAGCACTTGCGGGTCATGAAGCTGATCCTTTGCCCCTCCAGTTTATCATTGTAACGCAATCTTGAAAATGACTCGGTTAATAATTTCGCAACGATGTCATCACTATCACTGAAGTGAGCCATCATGAACGAATTTATGCTAATCATAAATCTATCCATCATAAATCTATCGATTAGATTTATGATTCGAAAATAATAAAAGTAGGGTAGACATGTGGATATTATCCGGCTGAATAAAACATGCATTTATCTAACAGGTTCGTTTTCCACAGACCTTATTTCCAGCTATTTTCCCAAATCCTATGGAGAAATCTGAGGTTACCTACTGTAGCCCCAGCTTCTATGAGTAAATGGCGCAGCCCTCTAAGGCTATCGCTATTGGGTAATCCCCCTGCGCCCCCGCGCAGCACTGAAACACTTGTAGTCCACGCCCGCCCGCAAGGTGGGCCCGCCCTCAATCTGCTCCCATACAAAATAACTTTTCTTCAGCTATTCGTGGAGCCAGTGGGGCCCAGCGCTTTAGACGGGCTTTTGCGCCATTTTACTCATAGGAAGGGCTGGTAGTTGTCGATAGGTACGGTAAGCCTTTTCCAGTTGCGTATTCTCGTGTATATGCTTCGCGCCTCTAAGGCTATCCACCTATTTTGGGTTTAAGGGCGAAGCATGCATGTTATCTGCGCCCACTGGGTCCTTCCCGACACTAGAAGCACAGATACATACCTTGCTCAAATAACACCCCATCCGATGTGCATGGTTAATGGAGCCAGATCACCAGGGTCGGCTCCAGAAGAAAATCGAGAGATGGGGTGGGAAATTCNTTTTCAAAATACCAAACAGATCTGAGGTTACCTACTGTAGCCCCAGCTTCTATGAGTAAATGGCGCAGCCCTCTAAGGCTATCGCTATTGGGTAATCCCGGGGATTACCCAATAGCGATAGCCTTAGAGGGCTGCGCCATTTACTCATAGAAGCTGGGGCTACAGTAGGTAACCTCAGATCTGTTTGGTATTTTGAAAAAAAACTTCACAGACATGTTTTATATAGGTATGGCCCTACAATATATTGTTCAAATATAGCATGATAGGTCCTCTTTAAAATAAAAAAATTCTATATTGATTCTGACTTTTCTACATCCAACTCACAGGTTTATCATTGCTTTGAGAAAAAAGATGATTAATTTACCCCTTTTTAGAAGTGAAGATATAGTAAATTGTTCTGGGAATGTCATTTTTGAGCCTGAGGCCTGAAAAACAGGCTCGGGGCTCAACTAGGTCATACATGAAGCACGGCTCTTCAGTTTGTTCACTAGCTTGCGTTACGTGATGACAGCTATGTCATATACGGTGTGTTTGACCAAGGTGTGTTGTATGAACAGTATGTCAGCACTTCTCTATAAACTATATCTGGGTGGCTAGATAGAAATAGCTTGGTGCACAAATGTTTATTAACTTCTACTAGAATGGTGCATTGCAGACCTACAACAAGGCAAATGCTGCATTTAGTACATTCTCCACGGACGGTCCCATCTCCTGAGTTGAGAGTATTTCTTCAGACTTGTGTGTTCATGACTGCAAAGTTGGAATGTGGAAACAAAATTGACGATACAAAGAAGATCTTTAAACAACATGGTTGTTATCCAACTTGTTGTTCCTGCTTGAGAGGGCGTTAACATGAATATTCCCAGTTGTGAAATAATTTTTCAGAATATCTCACAATGATAAGATATGATTTGTGTATCTGAACTGTGTCTCTGAACCGCTCCAACGATTTTGAGGTTGTTCCTTGGCCCACACTTTTACTTATTTTCGTGAAAATCTGGTCAGCAGTTTTTCTGTAATCCTGCTGACCTAAGCAGGTCAAACAGACAAAGAAATAGATGGATCAAGCCGAAAGCATAACCTCACCTGCGGATAAAATCACACATATGATGTTTATTGTTACTGAAATGGAGCTTATACATAAGCCCCCCCTGAGGGGTCTATTACAGCGCCTCAGACGTGTCCTTTAATAACCTTAAATAAAGCTGACAGCCTTTTCCCAATGCTGCCAGGGTAATAAGAATATGTTTTCTATCGACAAATAATTACTTTCCTCATGTTCAAAAAATATGGACGGAATGAATTTATGCGCATTGCTCCTTAAATCCAGGATTTCAGTACAATAGGCTTATTGACTGACACGCACGGCACTATAGAGCAGTGCAAAAACGCCATTTATCCGTTCCAATTAGCCGCAGTAATCTATGACTTGTTGGAGGGCGCATTAGGTTACTCACAGTGGGCTTAGTGTACCAGGTTACATTTAGGTACCCTGGGTAGAAAAAAACCTCAAATGCCCTGAGCAATAATAACAAAGAAATGAAAATAAGGGAGAAAATGCTGTAACACTGACTCATTTATGGAACACAAATGATATAGGTTATTCATCTATAAACGCAAACATTGATTCAATATTTTTATTATGATTGTATATACTATAACTTTAAACATTATGAATATTATATCTTCAGCCTCAGTTGAGGCTTTTTCTTTTAAGCTGAGGCTGAAAGTGTCTCAGAGAAACTCGGCCCATTTAAGGAATTGCTTTTCCTTGGCCTTGCAATATTGTTCTTTATTTAGTATACACTCCCTTCAGCCTGCTCAAAACTTGAATATCTTTGACTTGCATTAGCCTAGAAAATGTTTTTGGCAGCCGTTTACTTTACTATTATTGCCTTCCTTGCTTGTGATTAGAATAAAAAAGTTAGGACTCCTAGAATCACCCGGACAAATGTTCAAAATGTAGACCCAATCCTTCCCATGTGTTTCAAGTGTTTTCACGTGCAACATGTGTTTCAAGTGTTGAAACTGCAAATTCTGGGACTGTTTTTTTCCATCTTCTTAGTAAGTTCTGTAACCAGAAATGTGTTAAGGTTTTTCCATCTTAAATCCCCAGTGAAGTGGCCCCTGAGGCTGCAGCAGTCCCTAGTGATTATCCCCACATCTTTCTGTCTATACCTGCCATTATTTATTTTAACTAATAAAAAGTGTTAGTGGAATGGTTTTTAATGTATCAGCCAGACAGGGATCAATGGAGCCTTCACTTGTGCACTAAATACATGGGGAACGGTATGAGGGGGGGTGGGGGCGATTTCAAGAAGGGAAATTCCAGTTTTGCCATCAGTGGTGCTTTTAACACCCACCACGAAATGTTACGGGGGGGGGGATATTTAAGTTAAGATGACAATCGCACGTCTAAAAACCATATTATTAAATTGAATGAAAATAGAAGGTCTTATTTTTATCTCATGCGTGAGAAGGACTAGATTGTGAAATTACCTGTTTGTTTTAATTGTGCTTATGTTACCGTTTCCGGCCCACTTTCTTTTGTGTTTTTCAGCTGAGTAAGATGTTTTTCCTCTTCCCTGACCCTCACTTTAAGAAGACCAAGCACAAGTGGAGGATTATCAGTCCAACGCTACTGGCAGAGTACGCCTACACGCTGAGAGTCGGGGTATGTACATAAGTAAGACTTGTTGCACCTAGTTTTGAAAACAATGAGTCTTTCAACAGAGGTTTCATCTGCATTAACTCAATTGTTGAGGTCATTTAAGCACATATGAACTGGCTTCGGCTTCTCAAGTAGAGGAATGTCACATTGTAGCACGAGGACATTTTGTAGTAGACTTTTTATTGACTGTTTAAACAGTTGATCTAAAAAGAAACATATTTTAAGTATGTTTAATAAGTATATTTACAACCACAGTGCCTATGTTAATTGTAATAAAGGAACGTGTCACCCACACTGAAAAAAGTTAACCGTTGACTTTAATTAAATATATTACGTCAACAAATATCACATTACTGTAATAGGTTAATTGAAAGCAATAATATTAAGTTGAACCTAATGTGTTTTATTTAAACTTGATATTATTGCTTTCAACTAACCTAATACAGTTATGTGAAGTCTGTTGACATAATACATTTAATTAAAGTCAACGTTTCACTTTTTTCAGTGCGGTGTAACACGAGGGCGTCATTATTAATTATTGGTCCACAATGGATCTCTATGACACACAAGAATAAGAATCATCAGACTACACAGAAAATACTCGTCAGTGTCCATGCATTCAGTGAAATAAATAGTTTGAAACGTTGTGGTCTGCAAATGGCTGACGTCAGCACAGAGCCTTCTGCCTGACGGAGCGCTCGGAGCTACAGTGGGACACTCAAACAAGACGAGCACTGATGGAGGTTTTTTGGGAACAATGGAGGGCTTGTGTCTAAATGTGGCTTTATCGTTTTTTTCCTCACGTGTGTCTTAGTGTGTGCCTCTGTGTGTACAGTAGTGTATGTGTGAGTGAAAGCTCTACAATGGCCTTCAGCATTGGCACCCTGCCAAAACTGCTGGTGGGTGGGAAGGCTGTCAAGATAATGCTCATTGCAGGCAGTTTGATACCAAAATGAACCCCTATTAAAGATAAAGCTTATTGTTATTTTTGTATTATTCACCCTAAAGTGCTCGCCTCCATGTAACTATGCCAGAGTTAGCTTATAAACTAATTCTTATCTGTAGTCCTTGGGAAACTTATACAAATAGTGGTCTATCAATGCAATACGGCGCAAATACAGAAATACACCATAAGACAATAAAATGCAAAGATACATTACGAAACTTGCTTGCTATCTGTAAGTAAGTGAAATTAGGAACTATTTGGGGAATCTGACTACACCTGAAACAGTTATCAGCTCTGATTCACATTAATCTGAACATGCACACAGTCTCTAATCCATTCTTCTCTGAAACAAAACCTGTGTGTGCCAAAAATGATCTTGTGTGGAAATCTGTGCCAATTTTTCTTAGAAATCCCTGTTCTTGTAATGTTATCTGTCCAACTCCAGGTTAAACCACAGTGACATAGGTGATTAACCTCTGTGCTGTCTGTAGGTTATTTTTATCTTTTTTTTGTATGAACCATCGCTAAGCACAGGTGATGTTAGCACTAGATTCAATGATGAAATGTTGGAACGATTAAAACAGAATAAATCCTTTTTTTTAAATAAATGCCATGGGTTTATTTGGGTGATTGATAAAAGAATGTCTATTTAGCCACCTGTGACGCTTATTTAACGATTCCTTTTCCCAGAACTGTGTTAATAACCTCCCTGTGTTTGTCTGATCATGTTAGGGTTTGGTGTACACCATGACAGATGTGGAGGAAGTGCACCTCTGGATGGTGAAGCACTTCAGTGAACATCCACTGTTCAAACGTGTCCTTGATGAAGAATTGGTACGTTTCCATCCCTCTGTAACCCTCTGAATGACTGACTCCAATATGATTATCGGATTTAGAATCAGAAATCCTTTTTTGTCTCGCAAAAGGCACATTTACATTATTACAACAGCCGATAGTGCAGGTAAAGTGAGGACAAATATAAAGAAATGGCTAAGTATGCACACGTTATTAATAACACAATAAGAAATAAAAAGTACACCATGGTAAAAAAAAAGAAGCAGTATATTTGTTCTTAAGAAAAGTGACCATATTAAATAAGAGCTAACTGTAAGCCAATCGTAAATGCACTGAGAGTAAAAAATATGGTGTGAAATTGAAGGAGGGTATTTTTAGATTAGCCCCATTCTTAGCCTTGATATCACAACCGATGAATGGCCTAAATTAACCACTTTGAATCTGTTACTTATATGTGGCAGTTTGTTTAAAAGAGTAGGCAGACAAAAGCAAAACATGTGTGGCTCCATTCACAGGAAAGGTTTGTCATTTTATGAAAACCTTTATTCATTCCTCGCCATAAACAAGTTTTCGATGACCTAGTGGGCACTCCATATTTATTGTATAGGAGCAACCTTCTCGCCAACTCTTTTCAAGAAAGCTAATAAGTGTTTTCCAAAATGTACTAATCCTTTTCACTTTTCCATCAATGACTCAAATTAAGAGCTATAATGATTTTTAAATGAATGAACAGTGAATGATCTCTGTAAAGATTTTAGTTTCAGTGAGTTTATCTGCTCCTGCAGTCCTTAATGTATTTGTGTTAAATCTTATTTTGACAGGTCGGTGATGTCATCATAAGTCGTTTGGGTACCTGCACAGAGGAAGGAAAGAAAGTGCAGAGAAATGGAGGGAAAAACTTCCTTGCAGTTTTCCGGAGGATCGAGGATTTAAACTAAGGCAGTGTGGACATGCAATGAACTGAAATAATAGTCTTACATCTGCACACAACGGCTGTGGCTCACCCCCTCACCCCCCAGCACATGAACATGAACATGGAGGATTTTTATTTTTCCTGGTATCATTGGTCAAATATTTACATAATTACCCAATAAATGGTTTGAGGTTTTTTTTTTTACCAATTAATTCCTCAGCTCACGAATGAAGACGCACGAGAAGTTAATCACAAAAGCATCCGAATGCATCTGTGAAGTGTTTTGTATCACTTTTAAAAAAATAATTTTAAATGATTTACTTCGATTGCAAAGAGTTGCTTTGGATTTCCTGTAAAACTGTACTTCTTTTCAGTAAAAAAAAAAGAAAATCAGTGTTGGGTTTGGTTCATTGTGATCAGCACTTGTAAGGGCTAAGAGGACCATGCGATCAAATTTGATCAATTGGTCGAAAGCTGTTTTTTTTGGTTACCGTTCTCAAAAAAAGGATTAAGAGCAACAGCCTGCATAGTGAATATGCTATATTTGAAGAGGTTTTACTGCTGAATTTTTTTTTAAATAACATAAACATTTTCATGTGATTATATAACATTGTTATTGGCTTTGCATTGTTAACTTGCATTATTGGTGGTGGGGAATCTGAAATGGATTAGACTGTTTGCCAATAATCAACATCCTGCTTGTTTGTCTGCTTTATAAAAAATAAACCGGCATGCTGCAGCAGGTTCGGTGACACATGAACGCAGCATAGAGCTTACTCATTTTTTTTTTTTACTTTGCTGAGGAAAACTTGTTTTAATCAAAACTTAAATCCTCGATTGTTTACCAGATTTCTCTCTAATGCAATTTAGATTAAATCCACTTTTGAAAACCACAAATTGACCACAACATGGGTTGTCTCTACATGTCAAACGACATCCAAAACAAACCCTATATATATATATATATATATATATAATCTCCATCTACTCTGCTAAACATGTCTGCTGGGCGTCTGTGAAGTCCAAATCCAAGGAATCTAGAACAGAAAAAGTGTTTTTCTGTGCTCATTTTTTGATTGTATTCGTGTATGACAGGTTGGTGTTCCTGTCTGTCAGGAATTTTAGACGGGACAGTGCAGGCCTTCACTGCTGCAGGGGCTGGTGATTAAAAACAGGACAGCACATGCCTCAGTGATGGAAACCCTGACACTTGGAAAACTTGCATGATTGAACGGAAATATTGCTTTCAAACACAACAAATACTTTTTACCATTTTTTTCCCCTGGTATCGATGGAGACATATTTCCATTGTTACCTAAGAATGCTAAGTCATTCTGTCAATAGCTCGCCTTTTTTGACAGCAAACTCTCTGGAACAAACTGTACTAAATCTGCTTTTTATTCAACATCTACTGCACACTGATACCATTACATCACATCCAGCATTCGGTAAAAAAAATTATTGACAGAGCATCTCTAAATATGCAGTAAGCTCCCATTTTTTTTACCCCCCCCCTCTAGACTTTGAGGGGAAAGAACAATTGCTTAAACAAAATTTCTATGAATAAGATATGTGTTTACTGTACAGTATTAGTCATAATATTGGACTTTCTCTGATCAAGAAATAGAGCCTTCCGACTTGTGTCAGAGCTGGACCAAATAATTGAGTCACATGTCTAACAAAGTATTCACAGACGCTGTTACGGTTCGATGTTAACCAGTCTCCATCAAATCTGCAATGTTGACGAGGAGCCGCTGTTCTGCTATTGCTTATTATTGCCATGTGGGAACAAAGCCATTTGACTCAGCCTAAGTAGATCATTTAACATTTTAGTACCATCAGATCATCAGAAGAGATTCATTTAAATATCCTGCAGTGGAATCAAAAAGATAAACTTAATGATAAACATTTGGCTGAACTAGTAAAGCAATGTGGAAGTTGCCTTCATGCCCAAAAAATCTGTTTCATCTGGACGTCGGCGTGTTATTTAGCTCAACGGTTGATCCCCTCTGAACGTATTTACAGAGGCAGCTGTCCACGCTCATACCACAAGGTTCAAACTTTAGACACTGATTTTATCAACTCAGTCCGTGTCATGCACGTGGTCAAAGCAACATAGTTTGACATTTTCACTCTTTTCTAAAGAGTGATATCAATCTTACAACAGGTTTATTTCTCTATCCTGCTTCTTTTCCCTCAGTCCAAAGCTTGTATTACTGTCAACCCCTTGACTCTAACACAAGCCTACCAAAGGATCTCTGGATGTGGGTTTGAATCCTAAATGTCCAACAAGATTCATCATTTATCAATGACAATGATACTAGTGACAATTGAAAGTTAACCCAAATTAAAAGCCATATTAAAAAGATAGGTTTTTAATTTGCTTTTAAACATTTCAAGGGAGTTTGCTGTTCTAAGATCCATTGTTATGTGCCGTTGTGTGTGCTTTTGTGTGTGTGTGTCNCACAATAAAAGGCCACTCTGAAACGTGCAGTTTTGTTTTATTGGGGGGGTCTGGGGGGGTCCGCAAACCAGTCAGTATCTGGTGTGAGGGTTAGGATTAGGGTAATGTTGTGAATCGAGTGGCCTGTGTTCATCGTCCATAACATACGCCTGCCCATACCATAACCCCACCACCACCATGGGCCACTCGATTCACAACATTACCCTAACCCTAACCCTAGTGGCCTTTTATTGTGGCCAGCCTAAGGCACACCTGTGCAATAATCATTCTGTCTAATCAGCATCTTGATATGCCACACCTGTGAGGTGGGATGGATTATCTCGGCAAAGGAGAAGTGCTCACTATCATAGATTTTTTCAGATTTTTGAACAATATTTGAGAGAAATGATTATTTTGTGTATGTAGAAAATGTTTTAGATCTTTGAGTTCATCTCATGAAAAATGGGAGCAAAAACAAAAGTGTTGCGTTTATATTTTTGTTCAGTGTAAGTCTGTTGTCTAAAGACAGTTTAACAGAATCAAATATCCTAACTGCACACAGTACACCTATCTTTGTGCACTCTATCACAGTGGGAAAAAGAGGAGGCTAGCACACTTTTTCTGTTATGGTGTTATCTTTTTCACAAATGGGAGGTTAACTGAAACCGACATCACCTGTCAAAACAGGAGACAGTTTCACAGACAAACAGAAATGCAATTAAAAGGATTCACTGTGGAAGCTTACTGAAGGCCACGGTGGAAGTTCACTGTGAAGTCACATTTTCAGAGTGCAACGTTTATACAAGTGTCTTTTAAGTGAATTTGATAGATTGATATAATACTATGTATTTCCAATAATACACTTCTATAGGATGAATACATTTTGGACATTTCATAAAGAAATTAAATGTTGGAATTCGTTTTGCATTAGTCTTTTTATGGACCGACTGGATAGACAAAATGAATTGTATCACCAATCCAAAGCAAAATAAACATTGTAAAGAATGCATTGGTCCGAAGACAGACAGCTCCGAAACACTTTATTAGAAAAAGGTTCAAAGTACAGATTCAGACTGACCGGGGTTGGGGAGGACCACTTGGCATTGTGTCATATATATTTCGGTCATCCGATGCAAGCTGGCTTGAATAGTGAAGCAGTCATGATTTCATGAGCAGCAGGGGTAAACAGTTAGAGAGCTGCAGCTGCTCTACATTTCCAAATAATTACTGATGTCTATCAGCGGCAAGGCTTAATATGAAATGTTTCCTAACATTTATCACTTACAAGTGTTGGGGGTTGGGCAACATTTGACTTGTCATGAAGGTAGCTGTATTATTGTTGTATTTGGTACAACTCTACTGGCCACAGTTCTTACACCCGAACAGTATAGATGATTTTCTGAAAAGCTGTTGTCACCCTTGATTTGTATTGTGCTATATACGTTTTCTAAAAGAATTAGGGGTGTAACAAGATACAGGTATTGCAGATAACCATAATGTTTGAACATTATTTCTATATATTATAAGTCTATATAAATTGTTATTTTTTCAGTAGTTTGTACGGTTATGGATTAAGACTCTCTCGAAATCCCTATAATCGTGTTGAGTGTAATTTATTTGCTGAGAAAATAGAAGAAACGGACAATTCACAAAGATAAAGACAAATTTGACTTAACTTTTTTTTTTTTTAAATCTTCTAAAGATATTGCACGTTATTGTAAAGTATTTTGGCCAAATAACCAATTAGTAAACAATATTGACATCAGGACAGTCCTAGTTTGAATAATAGTTGACCAATGTAGAAAAGTAATGGTAGGAGTTTGGAGCACAACAATGGCAAAAATGTTTAAGGAGACCAGGAGTACAGGCTCAGATATAAGTCACAGTGTGGGAAAACAGGACAGTTGGCAGAAGTTGAGACAAAAGTAAAGATTTTTCTCACTTGACTTGAAGGGGCTGAAAAGATTAGGTTAACATCTGGGTCAGTAGGAGTTTCTCATCAGTCCAAACCTGAGAATCCCATGAGGGGAAGGATTTGATGCAGCAGGCCTGCAGGATGGAGGTTTGGCTGTGATGTGGCTGTGTACAATCTGACCTCAGTTGTTAGTGCTGCGGGGGAAAAGCACGTCAGGAATTCATGTGGAAGTGCTTCGGCTGCTATCCATATGTAAACCAGGCCTCAGAAATGCATGCCTTTACCCGAGTATTAGGACGGAAGAGGAAGGAAGACCTGAGTGCCAGTGATTTGGCAAAAATACAGAAACTGTGTGAGTTGTAAATGTAGAAGGCAGAACATAACTTCTTTATGGATGTTACATTCCCTACTGGGCTAGGGGAACCAAAGGGAAGTAACACAAATATAAAATGACCAGGTGAGAGAAAAAGGAGAGGAAGCTGATCTCTGAAGCCACAAGCAGATCTTTTAATGGACAAAAAGAAAGAGGGCTCACCAGCCAACTTGCAAAGTAAACTAAGATACAAATGTATACTGGAGCACATCTACTAATAATTAACAAAACACAGGTCCCACATAGAGACACATACACAGAGACACAGCTACACCATGCTACACACATGCTACACACATGCTACACACATGCTACACACATGCTACACACATGCTACACACATGCAGCCAGTGGAGAGGGAGACTGCAGTCTTCCTCAGGTCCTTTAAGAAGACCCTGATTGAGGATTGGGAGCACCTGGAGGAGAGGCTGCACCTGGAGACAATCAGAGGGAGAGAGAGACACACACACACACACACACACACACACACAAGCACCCACTACGNCTGGGTGTTTCTCAATCGCGAGAATGCTGGCTTGGTAGTCGCGTACTTCCAAGTCACTTCCTTCAGAAGAAGCCGTGGCTTGGAAGCATACTTGCTTCGTTTCTGAAGGAAGTGACTTGGAAGTACGCGACTACCAAGCCAGCATTCTCGCGATTGAGAAACACCCAGGGTAATGAAATAAAAATGGGAGTCACATGAGACACTTAAAAGGACTCAGACAAAAGCTTGGCAGCAACATTTTTGGAACACTTAAAGGCGATTTAGGGTAAGCGTTTGGAAACCACTGACTTAATGCATATATGGGTAATAATCAGGCAATAAATATGGCCTTTCATAAACGATATACAGTAAAGAGTGCAGGGGGGCTTGGAGCAACCATAAACACTATCCTCACCAGCCTGTTGAGTGAGTGAAAACTATTAGCACAACCACGAGACACATACTCACTCATTCATCTGCATTCATACACACATCTGTGTACATCATTTTTCCGATACCACCCAGACAGGCAGACATGAACTTTAACACACTAATGTTGCAATATAGCAGCCTCACTCTGGGCACTGGGCCAATACAGTAAGGGGAAATACCTCTCAGGTGATCCCCGCTGTGATCCATACCATGATCTATTGGGCCACATCAGCTTGCACCTTACGACAGCACAAAGAAGCCATTCTTTGACAGGATTTCTTATTATGTTTTTTATAATCAATATTAATCCCTGTTACTCAGGCATGGCCAGATTTACTAAATAATGTGTTCATGTACATTTCTTGCATCCTTCAAGATAAACACATTTTCCACAGAGGAAGATGTAAAGAGGTTTTCTGAAAGGTCTTTGGTTGCACTTTTAACTTCACCATTCAGCATCACGGTTTGTTTTGTGTCTCCTGATTCACATGTCTAGGTCACTTCATGTGGGGATTGCCACAATGCTTAAAAGAGGTCTCCTGATGTTACTCTTTTTCCCGGGGGTCTTTATCCTATAAGGCTGTTGTCGTATTGGCTGTTCATCATTGTGCAACCTTATCTTACTTGTATTTCTCACTGTTCTACTGCTGCAATTAATCCAACTCGTGCTTTTATTCAATTTCTTCGCAGTGGCTTGACCTCTCTGTCTTTAAATAAATTATTTCTTGTATTTTCTATGCTCTAAGAATTCATGCAAAAGATATCTGATAAATCACTATCATGGATGTTTCTTAAAATGTTACTCCACATCACAAGGTTTCTGCGTAAATCCCCAAAACCAGCCCAGAAGCATTTCACTGTGTTCCTCAGTTTTTCCACAATTTCTAATTTTCAATGTATCTTACCAAAGTTGCTTCGTCACATGTTTACCATCAGTTAGACGATTAGATTTGCTCACATACAGTCTACACAAGCTGTAGCAGGTCATACTCATAAATCCTCCTCCAGCCCCCAGCTAAATAAAATCATGCATTCTTTACTTGACCTTTGCAAAATGCCAACACATTAAACTGGCGCAGAAGGTTAAAACATTTGGCCTAAAACGCTAAATGTCTAAATACTCTGCATTGTATTCCATAAAGCCTACAGCTGATGTGAAAATATAATATGATGTAAGATTTGATCCTTTATACCCCAACATCAGGCTGACATTATCTGTCCTTTAGTGAAACTACAGGATACTTCTGCATGGATAATATGTCCACTGTGGTTCTGCACAGGAACAAACACTATATGTAATTTAGTTAGCTGATGGGCTCAGTTTTAGGAACCAACCCATATGTGTTTCTCTCTCAAGCTGCAGTAATTTAAATATGCACCATTGGTTTTCGTATAATATTTGGCAGCTGCATTGTTAGAAGTATTTTTTACTGTACAATGTTGGGTTCACTTCATACCATAGACTGTTCATACCTTATGATTTAACATATTTATGGCCTGGCGTTGGTGTGATAGGTAGCTAAGATTATGATAATTAGGATCCACTTGGTAACAAGATGATGCATTTCAACACGCATATCCTGCAAACGCTGAACAAGTTTAATCGAACCATAACGGAAAAGTCGGTCAAGGGTACTTTTAGTCTAACTCTCTCATCAAGCTGGGATTGGCAATCAAACGTCAATGTTTCTGTGAAACTGGATGATCTAATATTCCAGTTAGAGCATACAACATACAGGAGCAAATGTCAAAGCAGATTCTGAGTACAGTCCCTGGGATGTTACTTCACAGTTCATGGTGCCTTGGACAGATTCCAGGTCAAATTTAAATCAGGTCAAGAATTGATCCCTCGCAAAGTCAGCTAAAACATGTGTTATAGCTGGCTAAAAAAAAGCCATGCCAAGTCTTAAAAAGACACAGACTGTCCCTGATTACGCCTTTTTCTTCAAGATAAGATTGAACTAATGTCTTTGTCAACAGGCCATTTCGTATTTAGCTAATATTAAACCTCAAAATTGTAATCCAACCCCCTTTTTTGATTGATTTATCTGATTCTGCTTGAGGTTTTGTCCTGCCTAAATCAATGGGATCTATAATAACATTGGCCTTTAGGGTCGAGCGGTCTATTAAGCACACAAGACCTAATTTCCACATGTTCACTCGAAACATGTCTGCTGGACTATCAGAGAGCAAAGTGCTGCAGTGGGGAGATAAGCCTCAAGAGTATCAGAGAAGTCATGTATTATTTATCCAGGACCTCCACGTGTGCTGTCTCTGGGATGGTCTGAGCTCGAGCCCTCTGATTGGACACACCTCCCCTCAGCTCACGTCTTCACAGTCTCATCCAGGCGGGGGCGGGGCTTGCGCTGAATTTACACCGGTGATTGGCCAAGATTTCCGCGGGTTCGAGGAGCAGTTAGCGCCTTATAAATACTGCCGCAATGAGCTCCGAGAGCTGCGTCCAGCCACCGATTCATGATCAGAGTGAGAAGGATGCTGCAACAAGCTTTGAGAGTATCCGGCCGCAGTGCCATCCCCCTGATCAAGTGGATGGAGAGGTGGGCTGAGGGCGCATCCGCCAAGCAGCAGGCAGCCAAGACCCTGCAGGACATGCCCGGACCCTCCGTGGCCAGTTTCGCCTGGGACTTGTTCGCCAAACGGGGGCTGTCCCGGCTGCACCAGCTGCAGGTAAGAGGATAAACAGGGACAGTTAAAGACACCAAATATATGAACATTTGCAACACCTGCCTCTTTAAAGCTGATCGCACCAAGATGCACCCTTCTTCGTGTTTTTAGTTAGTTGTGTAATCTGTCTATTGTTATTTTAGGAAGGTTAAACCTAATTTGCATATTGTGTAGATAGAAAATAGACGGAGACAACGAGGAAATCAGTGTCTGCTGCATGTCCTTCAAACTGACTGTCAGGTTGCCCCTACCCCCACTGATAGGGTGTCAAATAATATAGACCGAATGGGTGCTTATAAATGGGGTGCCCCAGGCACAACCCCCATATGAGTGTATCGTTTTTAAAGCAGACAATATATTTTTGTCATATCTAACAGGTTTGCTGTTAACGCTGGTAGGATTCTTTTGAAGATGAATACATTTAGTATAGGCTGTGTCTTAGTCACTGGACTGAATTATAAAAATATGTATTTATTTAATATATTAAGATGCCATAATGAATGCATCCTTGATAACCTGTAGGCACAACACTCGGGCTTAAATATTAATATATTTGTTTTGCAGTGTAACTGTCTTTTACACATTTTGTAAGTTATTTCAACCTTTAGTAACAAACACCAAGCCAAGGACAGGAGAATATTGACCTGTAATAGACACAGGCCAATATTCTTTTGTCCTAACTAACTAACAATTACTTTCATTACCCATTAATCATTTGGTCTCTCAAATGTGAAAAATGCCCCTTCTAGTTTCGCAAAATCCAAGGTGATGAATTCAAATGTCTTGTTTTGTCAGTACAAAACACAAAGATAATCAGGTTAATAAGGAAGAACCCAGTTAAAAGCAGAACATGTATACACTTGAGACACTAAAAACAGCACTTTCTGGAATCATTGCATGAACATTTACTTCAATGATTCAAACAATTGGTGCTACTTTTTTCCTTGATCGATTAATCATAGTCAGCACATTGTTGCAGCCCATGAATGATCTAATCATGAGTGAATAAAAGAAGCCTGCACACATCTTTAGTTCTCCGCCGGGCATCATCAAAGATGCTGCCAATCAGTTCATAGCTTGCAGCGTTTTCACAAGGTCACCCCCCTCTCCCTCATGTTGTAGCTGGAGGGCTTGCAGCGATATGGGCCCATGTGGAAGGCGAGCTTTGGCCCCATTCTGACCGTTCATGTTGCTGATCCAGCGCTCATTGAGCAGGTTCTGAGGCAGGAGGGCCAGCACCCCATGCGCTCTGACCTCTCCTCCTGGAAGGACTACAGAAAGCTCAGGGGACATCACTACGGACTCCTGACTTCGTGAGTAGCACTCTGAGACAGCCCTCTCTTGTTGTAAATCCCCAAATCACAAGATAAATGCAAACTTGAATGATTTGTAATTCGTAGTAGGAACTATGGCATTACGAAATGATGTAATATATTAACTGATAACAAAGACACAACTTAAAGATAAGACTGTTCACAACTCATTCATTCATCATTCTATATTTAACCATAGTTGTTAAGGAAATACCCTCTCAAGAGTGGGGACAGATGAACAGAACTGAACAATATAATAATAAGAAATGACACATTCAGTGTACATTTTTTTTCAATGCACCAGTTAAATACTCACAAACACGCAGAGATGCTCAAGTAACACAAGTGTTTCTTCATTTATCTTTCTGTTTGTTCCCAGTGAGGGGGAGGAGTGGCAGTCGGTGAGAAGTCTCCTTGGTAAGCACATGCTGCGACCCAAAGCCGTGGAAGCCTACGATGAAACCCTGAACGGCGTGGTCAGCGACCTTATTGCCAAACTTCGCCTGAGCAGAACGTCTGAGGGCCTTGTCGCTGACATCTCAAGCGAGTTCTATCGATTCGGCCTCGAGGGTAAGATTTAATGTGGTCTGAGGCGTGGAAACGTCATGCATCACTACAGGGTGCATCACTACAGGGTGCACCACACCGTGTAAACATTGGTAATTAGGGCCAGTCAGATACAGGAAGATAGGTTTTCTGATAATGACAACGACATTCAAAACAAATCATGGATCGATAACGAGTAACCTTCAGTTCACCTTTCCAATAGTTGAACAATTATACATCATTATAATTTACGTATAAGTAGCAATTCGGCAAAATCGTAACCTTACAACTAAGACAACCGCATTCAAAGTTATCACACATTGGAGACAGAGCTTATTTAAACTAGTTATACTTTAGAAGTTAAATAGCTTAACCTATAATGCTGCATCTTCTTTTGTAAACTCATCATGTGTTTGTGTATAACATCTAAACTAAGTTAGTACAGGTAATACCTACAGCTATCAGATAATTAGTCCCGTAAAAAGATATCAATATTTTCCACTGACATTTTGTTGAATAAACATATTTAATAAAATGGAAATACTTAAGTAACATAGAAGCTCCTCAGTATTGTACAGCACATTAGTAAATGTACTTTTCTTATTACCAGCTCTTATAGATCCTGTTAAAGCCATTGCTCATTCCCTGCCTCGTGGCTCCTCAGCCTTCATTCTTCCATGAAGAAAATATACATTTATTCCTTTTGCTCTCCCATATTTCTCCCAGACTAAACAGATCAATCTAGTGACTGCATGGTCACATTCCCGTCTCTCTCTAACATTTACTCTACCGACATCAAATTGATTGTAGTGTTGAGTGGAAGCTCGGCCAACTGTTGTTGAAAAAACAATTTTACCTTCAAAAAAGGCCAAACAGTAGATATAGTTTCATCATCTGTTAACATGTCTGTCAGCCCTCGTGCCGTGTCTTTCTCACCTCCTCATTTACCTTCTTTTTATTTGACAGGCATTTCCTCGGTTTTGTTTGAATCAAGAATTGGTTGCCTGGATGCGGTTATCCCTGAAGAGACGGAGCATTTCATCCAATCGATCAACACCATGTTCGTAACAACGCTTCTCACCATGTTCATGCCAAAGTGGCTGCACCGGCTGTTTCCTAAACCCTGGAACTCCTTCTGTCAGAGCTGGGACTACATGTTCAACTTTGGTAGGTCATTTCTACTAATCATTGAGTTTAGTGGTGACATAAGAAAGAATAGCAACATGTCAGCCTACTTGTACTCTGATAGTGATGGATGTCTGTATAACACTGTATTTAAAGAGAGAACATTTGGAAGAAATGTTAAAAACGAGCATAAACAGAAAATACATTTTTTAAAAGATGTATTATCAGGGACATTCAGGAGACGAATACTAGCACTTCCCCTACACAATGACACCAAAACAAACTCTATGTTTTTCCACCCTCTTTGATTAATTTCCGTCTGTCCGGCCTAATTTCTTTACAGCTAAATCTGGTTCCCCTCAGCATTTGATTATTCCACCCACTCACTCTGACAGTATGTTATGACTCATCCACATCTGAATCGAACATGTTTAAATGATCACTGTGGTGCAAACTGGATCAGGAAGCAGGAGGTTAAAGTCCTTAACCCTCACGCACTACAAGATCATCTGCGATATGAAGTCTTGAACATCTGTCATGATGTGGTTGAAGGAATTTTAAGAATATCGAGTCGAGTTTATGTTTTAAATATTTATAATGAGCCAATGATTATACATTTCGCGTTTACACGATTCATGTGCATTGACAAATATGAAATGTGAAGAGTAAACCTAAAGGAAAAATACTCAAAATACTATCAGAAATGTAAGAATATGAACACAACTAAGATCTTCAGAAAGGCCATACTGGTTTTTGATACTTATTTGGTAATAATGATATCACTCTGAAGATCTCACCAGAAATAATGTATTCTCTGTGTCTCTAGCTAAAGGCCACATTGACCAACGTATGACGGCTGAAGCAGAAAAGGTTGCCCGTGGAGAGGAGGTGGAGGGCCGCTATCTGACCTACTTCCTGTCGCGGGCCGGGATGCCAATGAAGACTGTCTACAGCAACGTCACAGAGCTGCTTCTTGCAGGAGTCGACACAGTAAGAACAATCACTCTCTCTGTCTGTCCGCTGTACTCTGCCATCATATCTTCCTGATTTATGAACCTTTTTACACCCCGCCCGTTCTTTCAGATCTCCAGCACCATGTCCTGGTCGCTGTACGAGCTGTCCCGTCACCCTGAGGTGCAGGCAATGCTGCGGGACGAGGTGTTGAGCGTGCTGCAGGGACGAAGCATACCGGAGGCAGCGGACGTGGCCCGCATGCCTCTCCTGAAGGCCACCGTCAAAGAAGTGCTTAGGTAGAACTCAAAAGATTTCACTTCATTTCCTGAAAACATCTCGTTTTCGACCCTCAACTTTCATTTTGCTTACATTATTGAACTTTGTTTTCCAGGTTGTACCCGGTAATTCCTGCCAATGCAAGAGTCACTACAGAGAGAGACATCGAGGTTGGAGGCTACCTCATCCCTAAAAATGTGAGTGAGTTGAGGGAATAAGGACACTATAATATCTTTGAAACTCTGTTAACTGTCTGGATGGAAATCTGTCTAATGTCAGATGTTCACACTGTAAGGGAGACATTTTTACTGTGCTAAATGTAAATTTAAAGGGTTTGGTTTTTAATTTATTGAAATGTTTCCTTTATAGTTTTCGAGGCAACTGATTACTTCTAAATCCATTTCAACTTGGTTATACCTTTTATACAAGTGAAGTTGTAAATATCAAAAAGATAGCTAGCTAATAATGTTTTACTTCACAGAGTTTGGCTTAAGGGTGAATCTTATTTTAAAAATATTCTATCTCTGATAGTAAAGGTACATGTTCCCATGTCCAAAAATGCCTTCTCTCTTAAAAACAGTGTGAATGTTGTAAATCTCTGACAGTACAATGTTTTCTTCCAGACTCTGATTACCCTTTGCCACTTCGCGACATCACGAGATCCAGCCGTGTTTCCGAATCCAGATGAATTTCAGCCCCATCGCTGGTTGAAGAAGGACCAGACGTTCCACCCGTATGCCTCCATACCCTTTGGGGTGGGAAAGCGCAGCTGCATAGGGCGTCGCATCGCCGAACTGGAGCTCTACCTCGCTCTTTCGAGGGTGAGTTGTCAGGAGTTAACCTTTTGTTTTTGAGTCTTTGATAGGTAGTTTATGATATGATGATGACGACGACCAGAGAGTGAATTACTGTGATGTAAAAGTGTGTAAATGCAAATCCATTTAATCCGTTCCAAATATGTAAAGAAAAAACATTTATACAACATTTACATATATTTGTCCCAAACACTGTAATACTTTCTGTTAAATGCAGCAAGTACACAGATTATTTGAATCAATTAATCCTCAAATCCTATTCCTGCATTTTTCTTAGAAAATATAGGGAACTCAAAGAAAGGGATTTGAGACTAATGCAAATCCAGTTCCTAATGAATTAATTTGATTACTTAATCTAGAGATTTTAGTTAAGAGTCACGACCCAACACTTTGCACATGATGGGCACTTGATTTTTTTCCTTCGGTTTAATTTCTTTTCTCTGTTCACACTAGATCCTCTTAGAGTTTGATGTGAAGCCCGACCCAGAAGGGATTTCCGTCAAACCCAAGACCAGAACGCTTCTGGTTCCTGAAAGTGTCATTAGCCTCCAGTTTATTGAACGATGACCCACTCTCCTGAACTGGTCTGTTGCACGAACGAGAACGTTACTCTCTCGCCCTAGAGAGTGATAACAGGTGGAGTTATCGCAGGAAACGTGAGACTGTTGCACGCAGTAAGGGCGGACCTCCGACCTTTGTCACTGAAAAGGCCAAAGCCCTCCATATCTGTTACCTAGTGTGTCGAGGCTGCTGGTAAAGGAGGGCAGATGAACGAATGATGAGCAGTGACAGTTCATCACTGAGGATTTCCACTGGTATAACTCCAAATGTAATACTGTGGGGTGATGTTTTTTTTAGAAGTAAATCACCATCAAGCTCTTATTTGCACCTAAGCCAAGAGTCATCCAGTGATCTCCTTCATTTTCAAAACCCAAAATGCAAACTTTATCCTTAAGTGAGCCAGGCCGTTGAATTTGCACCATTTCTGTATTTGACACTGATTTTTTATTTTAATGTAACCCCTTCATAAATCTGAGTTTACCTCTGATGTTCTGCACTCTTAACGTATGTGCCCTGGTCATGCAAATATTTAATACAAAGAGCGTTTCTGTAAGTAAGTCCGAGATACACAGTATGTTGTATATATTTCAAATATTTCTAGAGACACAGACACATGAACACTCTTCAGCTTGCATTTAGCTGTTGTAGGAATGTTGAGTTGACATGATGTATTAATCAAAGTGTTCTTCATAAGGTGATTATGGTTAACTTTTAGTGACGGGTTCCTTTTAAAAAAATGTTTTTATAAAAACGGCAGCTATTGAAATGATTCCCGTGTAGAAATATATTATGCTGTTTAAAATCCCTAAAAGAGGCCTCTTTGCACTCAGGCATTGTCTGTACTGTCTTTAACATATGCAACAATTTAAGAGTGCAGCACAATGCTACTTTATCTGTCTTACATTGTTTATAAACCTACTAGTTTGAGTGTTACGCCACCATTTTGTAAATGTAATACGTTTCAGTAACTGAATTCTGTATTTATTCTAATTTAACACATTTTAGAACTGGTACTGTAAATATCATTAAAAAATGTCAGGTTGGACTTTGCTTGTTTGTTGATTTGTTGGGGGGTCCATTTTAGGTCAATAATACATTGTTCTTTTGTGTTAATGTAATGCACACTTGTTTTCAAAATCCCTCCCTTGGTTCAGCATTTGCTTTTATCTCTCTCAGTTTGTCTCAGGGTATCAAAGTTCCTCTGTCACCATGTGGAGTGTGTAGTAACAGCTGTGGTGCAGCAGCTGGGGTTCAAACATTTGGACTATATAGCCCCACTGTCAATGGAGTGAAAAACAATGATGTTCAATTTAAAAGAGGTTTTCAAAGGTTAAGGCAGGCCTCCCCCGGGGGCTGCAAATTTTTACAGCGGAGCCTCGGTGAATGAAAATGTGCCTAGTCTATATGTGTCTGAATTAGAGAGATGGTTCAGAAATGCAGAATGTTTTGGAATTTTATAGTTTTTCCCAAAGTAAGAATAACTAAAAATGCCTTAGGAGAGATCTAATTGTTGAGTGTCTGTGGGATTAAATTATAAAATCATGATCCTAACCCAAACTAGGAATTGAGTGAAACCAACCAATTAGGTGAAAGGGCACGTTTAGCCAAGTTTTCTAGCCTAAGACTTTAAAAACCTCTGATCTAAAAATAAAGATCCACCTCAAAGTAAAAATAAAGTCAGCTCTGGAATCTACAATCTTTATCTGTTTAAATATGTATTCTACACTTAGTAAATGTTTAAATACAACTGTGGGGCGTGGGTTCAGGAGTAAAAACACTAGAGTTCAGAGAGAAATGCTGATTTTGTAACTCTACTCTGGGTAAACCTGATGGGGCATCATACAAAAACATAAAAGTTTGCGATTCCTGGTGGGAAAAGGAAAAAAGTATAACCCTAAACTAAAGCCTACATTAAAACATTTCCTGTCTTGCTACAATTTTTCTATGATTCTGGTGGGGGTTATTTGATTATGAGAAAGTAGGACAAGCCCAAGACTTGATATTAAACAAAAGAATATATGATTTTACAACTCCCCATTGCATATAAAGACAAGGAATGAAAAATAAATGTTAATAAACACATTTTGTATTGGTATTTACACATATGGTTACATTTAAAGCACTTTATAAAGTAAGAGTGGGGTTCAAAGTTACAAATGTTTTAACTTGGGCCATTAGTAATCAAGTAAATTTTATGTAGCCTATGTGTAGCCTAATATCATGAATCACAAATATGCCTAAATAATTCATCATAATTATAAAGTGTATGCTACTCTTTTAAATTAAATAAACAAACAGGGGGAACGTGTAAATATTTGAACAAGAATAAAGCTTTTAAATGTGTAATTTAATAGCATTTTAGTACCAAGACATTGGCCCAAAATGCAAACAAGACTCATCAACCTTGATTATAAATAGTTGGTTATGGATTTGTGTAGATTATGTAAATAGATGTAAAATATCAAGTCAGAAAACTGCTTTAAAGTTTGATTCAGACTCACTCTCCAGTCCAGAAGGAGGCAGTAATGCGCCGTCAAGGTGCTACAACCTCACAGGAAGAAAACAGACTAGCAGAGCAGCTAATGCTAACAGGAAAACGTCAAATTCATGTAGCCAGTTAGCCATGTAGCTAGCTACTGATGTGTTTGTAAAAGGCATACATAGACCATACAGACTCCAGCTAACGGTTCAAATACCAGAACGAAGGAATACAACGGGGAAAGGTGAGTCCCCAGACAGTGAAGCTAGTTGTGTTAGCTCTGGCTACGCAACTAACGCTAGCTCTCGTCAGAACGGTGTGTTTGCTAAGCTAATGCTAGTTAGCGAATGTTAACGAGCTTTATATTTGAACAAATTAGGTTATCTAACCGAACAGGATGCAGTGCAATATTGTCTGGACAAGTTCTCCATCTTGCCACAGTTCTTAAATTCTCACTAAAAATTACACATTGAAGGCAGAAAGCGATGCACGGTAGCTAACGTATGTAAACAAAGGCATTGCTAATCTGATTAGCAAGTCCTTTCCCCTGACTACCATAAACATAAACACAGGATCTACAATCTCAGAGTTGTTAAGTAATGTTGAGGATAATCAGTTTCATGCTGGGCCTTAATCCGTCTGTCAGGTTATAACTTTGACTGTATGTTTCCTTTTGAGCTAAAGTACAAAATATAATATCACAGTGTTGTTAAAATAATTAAAGCTACCAGAGAAAAGTACTCGGATTGTATGGAATACTCTGTTACAAGTCAAAGTTATACAATCAAATTGTTACTCAAGTGAAACTACTACATTACTCCCATCAAAATATATTTTAATTACCAAAAGTAAAAGTACTTATCATGCAGATTTGCCCATTTCAGAATAGCTACAATGTTTTGATTATAATTATTGGTACATTTTTGTGTTTATCAAAGCTAGCAAAGTTGAATTACTTTGTATACTGCAGGGTAGATTCATTTAACAAAATCTGCAAAGTAACTAAGTTACTTAATAAATGTAGTGGAGTAAAAGTACATTATTTACCTCTGAAATATAGTAGGGTAGAAGTAGCAACAAATGGAAATACTCAAGTAAAGTCCCTCAAAAATGTATTTAAGTACAGTGCTTGAGTAAATCTCAGTACTGATTTGAAGGTTTGTATGCAACCTGGAGGGAGTTAATGGTCCATGGACACTGGACTTATGTACTTAGTTACTTTACACCACTGTCTATATCTCACCACTTATAAACATTTCACTGTGTTTCATATATATATATATGTAACATTTTGAGGGACGTGTACTTTACTTGAGTTTTTCAATCTACCCAATTACTATTCAGATATCAATCATGTACTTTTTCTCCAGTACATGTATGTGATATTTTTTTTAACTTTGCAGATTTGGATTAATGAGGTGAAATATAATCAACACTTAACTATAAGACTTATGTTACAACTGGAGTAAATCCACAAGCTACTCTGCAGCATCAACAAGTTATTAAAACTAGCTGCTCCTTAACCAGCTTCGAATAACACTTTAAATCAATAATTATAATCAAACATATAATATATTATTCTGAAATGGACCAATCTACATAATGGTTACTTTGAAATGTGGTAGTTTAAGTAGTATAATTTGATGCTAATACTTTTGTACTTTTACTTGAGTAACATTGCAATATTGATTGCAGGATTTTTACTCCTACTCTCTGGTATTTCTACGTACAAGATCTGAGTGCTTCTTCCACCTCTGGCCATAGAACATCTTGCCGTGTTGAAAGTATGTTCCTCTGAGCTGAGTCTGGATTATTTGCTGATGTGTTTCATGTTGTGGCTGAACAGATGCAGGCCGGCGACCCTGTAGTTGGTGTAGCTGGTGCTCAGAGTCGGTCGGAGGACGAAGAGTCACTTGGAGTCAAAGATGGGAAAAGGACTGCAACACAAGCATTTGGCAGCGGTGTTCCCAAACGCAGAAGTTCCTCAAGGTATACTTGTATATTGCATTATTCCATCATGTATGTATTTGTTGGCATTAAGGCATAGTTGTGTTGTTTACTGTTAGTACATCTTTACTGTGTATTCCAGTGGTACATATGCAATTGTTTAAACCAGGGGTCGGCAACCTCTGGCACGCGTGTCAGCATTGGCACCGTAACCAGTGGCACACTAGGAATAAGTGGAATAAGTGCAAAATATTTAAATTGTATTTTCGGATCCTGAACGAGAACGCCGCCAGAGCGCGTCTCCCCGTTACCTGCAGAAGGAAGCCATGCACGCAACGCAGCCCCGCTCTCTTTAACTCCAGGTGACTTTCTGCCGCTTTCCTCCGTGGTGCAGTGCTGATCGTTTCACCACGGAGGAAAGCACTTCACTAATTGCAGTACCCAAAAGGAGCTGTACAAATGACGCAGTTTTTGCGTGGCTGTGCCTGGCTGTGTATTTAGTTGAAAGCCCAGTGGCGATCTGCTCATCTCTCATCGAAATAATATGCTACAAAGGGGCGGACTGGCCATCTGTGTGTTGCACTTTCCTGTCGGCTCCCAGACCGTAGTCGAGGAGGGCAGAAGCAACAAGCTTCAGGTTCAATAACCCACTTTAGCTTAAATGACTGGAGAGAGGCGAGCTCTTCTTGGGAGGCCGTTGCATTTATTTAGCTGTTCTTCTGTTTCACAAAATACATCACAGACCTCTGTTTTTCTGCTTCCTCGTTTCACTTCCAGAAACAAACACATGTGTCACGTTCCCTCACTGTCGCTCTACCATCCACAAATACACATGCACAAGCCACACCCCTCTCTCTCTCTCTCTCTGTCTCT